TTCTGAATTGGAAGCAGGATAGCTGTGTTAGTATAATGCTGTGTGGCGATGAAGAAACCACACTAACCGGGCTATACTGCTTCCAGTTCAGGAGCTAGCATGCACAGAGCTGGCATGGCATATTTCAGCACACCACTGCCTGGCATCCTGTTGGCATACACATCTAGTCTGATTTTGATTTTTTGTGCATGCATTTGACATTAGTGAAACCCCCACAAGTTCAAGGAAGTCACTCAAGGCTTATATGAAGGTAAAAAAAAAGGCAGAACTTGGCGAACACTTCTTTTCATTCCTCTAAAAGTGTGTATGGTGTAAAGACCTTACCTCTGTCAGGATGGCAGCCTTTTATGTAGCGTGTCACACTGATCACTGTAAGAGTGTTAATGCTAGCCAGGCCAAATAGAAGTGTCAGGAATCCATCAATCTGGAAAAAAACAAATAGTACAGGATCCTTGTTACCCCAGTCACACTGCAAATGCCCGGGGGGGAACAAACTATTGGCACTGCTCCAATCATTGCTTATTAAGGCTCTCAAAAGTCTTTCAAAAAGACCAAATACCAGTGAAATAAAAAATGTCATGAAGCATTAGCATCTTTATGGTCAGCAAACAGTTGAGACATTCCAAAATTAGAGATGTGCTGTGTCATGTAGGTAATGTATATGTACACTAAAGAAGCAATCATACACTTAAGGGCACATTCCAAACCCCCCCCGACTTGCAGAAACAAAAAAGAATTAAACGAAAAGGTGTAAAACACTGAATGAATGTGTGGAAGGTCTGGGTGACCTCTCATACATGCACCATGATCCAGAAGGATCGATGGTTGCCAAAACCAAAGTGATCGTAAGGAGGCAAGTTCATTATGCTGGGGGAAAAATTCAGTCCTTGAGTGAATAGGCGCAACTCTCAGTGTTAGGTGGCCCATTTATGCCAACCCTCACTGTAGCTCTGAAAACACCATGGATGGTGTAGATCTAAATGAAAATGTATTGGAGTGGGGAGAGTGGCATGCAAAGGTACTTTATCATGTATATTTGTGCTAATTTTTTTTCTTATTAAAAGTTTCACTGTATTTTTATATTCATTTTGTAGGTCAGTAAGTACTGAGCCTGTGCAGGATGCGCTATTTTGACTAATGCATTTAAGTTATGATCAATTTAAAGTCGACATGTAACTTTAACCACAATTTACATCACAAAGGAATTTGGCCCACAGATTTCCATGGATGCTGTACCCACTTACTCCATGCTGCATTCGTCTGAATTTGGCCTCTTGTCTGTTCCAAGGATTAGTTAAATACCTGGAAATGCAAATGTTCAGTATATTTCATATATCTCATTCGGCTTATGGAGGCAAAACAGCTGTCACTTTCCCCCATGCTATACCAGTAGTGTACAAACCCACAGACAAGAGCCACTGTAAATCCATACAGCACGGGGTTAAGGAATAGGATGAGTTACTGTTTTATCTTACCTACAAAGGGAATGGTAACCCCCACCTTCCCACAACTAAGTTTGAAAAACAGCAGTAAGGTTTAAAACTAAATACAGAACAAAATGCCGGGCCTCAGTCCTCACTGGATGTAAATCACTGTTCTGCTGATATGTGTCTACTGAAGAGATGACTATATACTTTTCTCTCCTTCCAGAGATGGCTGTCATTCCCTTCTCCTCATTTCCTCACTGTTAGACCATCATTACTCAATGACCAGATGATGGAGTTCAATAACAAAGTGATTAAGTATTTAATCACAAAGTGATTAAACTCATTTTATCAAGAATGTATTTATCATTTTCTTATTTGAAGAATAATATTGTGTTATCATAACCAGAGCTGATAGAAAAATTGTCAATAAACTAGCTTTCTTTGAAAAACGGCTTTTCAGAAAAATCAGTGTTTCATAAGACTATGTATATTTCAGCATTTTTTTCATTTTGAGAATGTTTTTGGATATAAACCTGAGTAGCTTAGACCAGGCCAGACAGTAAGCATATATATGGCAGAGCAGGCAATTGACCAAGAAAATCTAGTTATGGAGTAGTGTCCTAGTTACTGGGCCATCTTTCCTTGGATTTAATAAAAACTGAGAGGCCAAAACAACAAGGAGGGAGATAAAACATCTAAGATAATGCAACAGGGCATTATTAGAATAGAAAGATGAAATTAAGCAAGAGAAGTGATGGGTGCCCCATCACTTGGGACATATAAAACTAAACTGGAAAACGTATTAAGACATGTGCAATAGGGGACATTCCTGCACTAGTAGAAAGATTCCCAAATAGGCTTTATCACTTTCTATGAGCTGGAAAGTGGATTAGATCATGAACTTGGTTACACTTATGTCAGTTAAGAGCAACTCCGTGGACTTTACCATAGGTTTCCAATGATGTTACTGAGGTCAGAATGAAGGCTTGTGGTCTCTAGTAGGATCCTTGGGAAAGGAAAGAAGAGGTGTTTCTGAAGAAGAAAAGGAGTGATAAGGCACTAGCCATAGCCCGTCTGCTTAAGAAACATACCAAAGTGGTGAAGGGGTGGAAAAAACAACTCCATTTTACACTTAAAAAAGACGTCACAGGTAGCATCAGGGACAGTACAAGAGCACCAAAGTAGCTAGTAACTCAGAAGATGCTGACAGGATCTTGAGTTGATAGTCAGAGTACTAATATAAGGATTCAGAGTAAAGAAATTCATTCCTAATTTTCTCCAAATATAAAGGACATATTTAAGATACCAGAGAAATACTTAAAATAAACAGGAGTATGAGTAAAATTTTGCCAAGCTAAAATGCGTGCTTTTCCTCTTCTTCATTTCTTTATGCCTTTTTCCTTTTCTTCTACTTCCAGTACATTCTTACCTTTCCTTGTCATAACACTTTTTCCTATTTCAGTGTAGTACAAAATGTTCTCAAAATGTAACCTAGTGATTCCTGTTGTTCAGAGTGGAATTAAAGAACTGTAGGCCTTTTGGATAATGAATTAATTGAACGGTAGGCCTTTTGGATAATGAATTAATTCAGACAGTATCAGGACATATATCAAATTTTAATTTTGCTTCCAACAGTTTTTTTTTCAAATTTGCTAACAGATTAGCATGCTTAAAAGCTTTTCAGCAATGCACAAAAAATGCTCCCCCTGTTATGCAGACATTTCCAGATTGCGCTTGTTATTTTATTGGTTGCCTGCAAGCTAAGATGTGAACAAAATAAAAATGTATTTATTTTCCTTTATTGTTCCCATACCTTATTTTAAATTGCATTAACATTCAGCTACATTATTTAAAATGTACAATGCTCACAATGCACTCCAAGTCTCAGCTTAAATTTTGCTGTCAGGAAGTAAGCCTCAGGAATGTTCTATGTACAAACAATTTTAGCAATGAGCTTAATTTTCTTCTTAGTTACTCCAGTTATACCATGGTATATCCCTGTTGATTTCACTGCATTATATTTGATTTGAACAAGATAAAGAGCTAAATATAGCTCAGTGTTTCTAAACTTAGCTTCATAGAGTGAGAATGGTATGAAAACAGATTGCCTAAGTAGCTACAATGCATCAGTTTAGGCTGAAACACTAATCTTTCCATTATCAGCCAGTAAAATTGCATTGCTCAGTGCTCAGGACAGACAACACAAATCAGATTGTGTTAATCTCTTGTGGTTTCTTGAATTGCATTTACTTCTCCATTGACCTACTTGTCCTTTTGGTTTACTCCGGCAAAATGTAATGAATATATCTATGATCAAGGAAAACTAGACTTGGGGTGGAGATTTTGATGTATGTGTTAAACTTGTCAGAAGATGCCAGCCATTAATATTTTTTAAAAATTTAATGAGACACCCAATTGACATATAAGTAAGAGATAATGGCTCTCAGAGCTGAATAAATAAAACAAAAAAAAAATCAGTTTGCTAATATTCTAAATGAATAAATAAATAAAGTGGAACTAAAAGGGAGTCCTAGAACTGAACAAACTCTGGCTTTTTTGTATCAAATGTAAATCAAATTCCAGTCAAATCTAATGAAAATATTCGTCACCCATCTCTGAGACAGATATATTTATAGTGGCCACGTCTACATGAGATGCTGACTGCACAGTTGCTTATTACTACTGTGCAGTAGCATTGCATGGCAGGAAGCATAATGCGATGCTGCTGCGCAGTAGTAATGAGCTATTGTACGGTCAGCGCCATCAGAAGCCGTTTGGCAGTGCTACTGTGCAGTAACTGCAGTTACTGCACAATCATTTAGTGCTTGTTTATACAAGTACTGAACGATGGAAAATACTGCTGACTTTAAAAATATTGACTATTTTCTTTGAGTGTTATTTCTTTTGAAGTTCTCACTAAGATGAAAGGGAAATGTGGAAAAAATGGGTTTCAAGTAACAGGATCCATCTATTTGGGAAAGACAAGCTCATGAATCGCATCTTTTCTTACTTAGTGATTTGAACCTTCTAATCTTGTAGCCCAGGGGTCGGCAACCTACAGCTCATGGAATCGTTGGATTTGGCCTCTGGATGTAGGGCACCAGTTCCCAAACTGTGAGTCACGACCCCAAATGGGGTTGCTATATCAGCGGATGGGGTTGCGACGCAGTGCTATTTTCTTTGAGTGTTATTCTTTTTGAAGTTCTCACTAAGATTAAAGGGAAATGTGGAAAAAATAGGTTTATACAAGTACTAAATGTGGCTGGACACGGAGCAGTATACCCCCAGTTGACTACCCCTGAGTTAGAATAAGTTGCATATGCTGTATTTTACTGGGCTGTATCTTAGCTTAGATGAAGATTTTTGGTTGTTCCCTGTTGCATGCTTTGCAAATTGCTGTGTTCAATACATGCTTTCTTCAGAGAAAGGACTTTTTCCCCATCCTCACTCCTCAGTCTGGCTCAGTCCATGAGCTGTAGGTTGCTGACCCCGGGCTACAAGATTAGAAAATTTAAATCACTAAGTAAGAAAAAATGTGATTCATGATCTTGTCTTCCCCAGATAGATGGATCCTGTTACCCTGAACCCATTTTTTCCACATTTTCCTTTAATCTCAGTGAGAACTTCAAAAGAAATAATGCTCAAAGGGAATAGTCAATATTTTTAAAGTCAGGAGTATTTTCCATCATTGGGCCCCAAAAAGTATACTCTGGACTGATCCCGTTTGGAGGTATGGAATGCAGCGTGATGAAATGCAAGGTTAAAAAGTGATAGAAGAGGAAGTGCAAGGAAATCTTACTGCCTTCAGGAGATCCTGCTGTGTGGTAGTAATAGGACAAAATTCCTGGTCACTGAGTAGCCTCAGTCACTTTACTTGTGGCAGACAGTCACCCGAGTATCTACTTACAAATTAGCAGCCAGGAAGTTACTCCCACCTACCAGGAGGACTTGGACCAGTAGATGTGTTGACATGTGCATTTGGTCTGAGATCAGTTTA